TCCCGTCCCGTCCCGTCCCGTCCCGTCCCGTCCCGTCCCGTCCCGTCCCGTCCTGTCCCGTCCCGCAGGTTTCCCAGCTGCCGGCCGCTCCGAGCGCGATCCGTCGGGCTCTGCTGCCCTCCTGTGAGAAATTTTGGGATTGCCGGCATCCGGACCCTTCCCGATCCCCTCTGACATCCCAAATTCCCCGCCCAGGGCCGCCTTCCCCCGACAGCCCGTCCCCACCCGGCAGTGTGTCCACTCCTGGCCATTCCGCGCTCCTTCTCCCCAATAAACGCTAATGGATCCATCCCGCTGTCGCCTCTCGTCCCTCTCCAAGGGAGGCTGGGGGGCGGGACACCGCGGGTGAAGCTCTGGAGGGGAATGTCCCAGGGAAACAGTCCCCAAAAACCGTATGAGGCAGTTTGGAGTGAGCAGCCCGTGGGGAGGGACTGCAGCCTCAGGCATGGGGCTGGGAGAGATGGGAAGGATGGGAGGTGGGTGGGCTGCATGGGGAGTGGGATGGGAGATTGGTGTGGGATGTGATGGAGCTGGTGGGAAGGTGTGGGATGTGGTGGGGCTGGAGAAAAGGTGTGGGATGTGGTGGGGCTGGAGAAAAGGTGTGGGATGTGGTGGGGCTGGTGACCTCAGCAAAGCCACAGGGAGCAGGGTGATGCCCCGTGGAGCCCATGGTGACAAACACAGGTGCCACCCTGCTCCTGGAAGGGGGTGGCCGTGCTGAGGACCACGGCCTCTTCCTCTCCTTGCTGCTGCACCATCGGAGCCTGCTGAGGGGGCAACTGAAAGGAGTGGAGAGGAGGAATTTCTGCAGGCTGAGAGACCTTTGCATCTGGCTCACAAAATTAAAAACTAAACATCTCTGGGGAGATCTTTGGTTTGACACTCACAGAGCACTCACAGGGAATGTTGAGCTCCTGGTCCATCCTGTCCATGCCAGCTGTGCCAGTGCCAGCCCGGCTCGGGGCACTGGGGATCAAGGTTGCTCCAGGGAGCACAAGCCATGGGTGTGTCCCTTCCTTCCAGCCACATTCCCGGCTGGCAGCAGGAGTCAGGAGAAGCCGGGAAGCGCTGGGAGAGGGGGCAAAGGATCTCGGGGTTCATGGTGCTGTTTATTGATATTAGACCTCAGTGGGATGCAGGACCCAGGTGCCAGGGGGAATGTTGGCATCACAGTGTTGGGAAGGATCCGTTTGGGGAGCAGTGCTCTAGGACCCGTGAGGGAGGGGGAATGTGCTCCCTGCAGAGCATCCCTCACACATGGTCCTTGGCACTGCCTCCTCTCCCTTCTCCTGCAGGAATACAGCACCACAGGGAAGGTGATACAGTGGCTATTTATTAATCAGGCGACTCTGCACCAAGGTCCTTCAGCAGAGCAGTAGAAGGGATCAACAGGCTGAGAAGGCTGTATCCATGGCAGGATCATTTCTGTGGGCAGTGTTTTCTTCTGGCCCCTCAAACACCCTCTGGAGGGAGAGCCGGAGGGACCCCACAGAGCAGGGCCTCCAGCACCTCCCCACCAAGAAGTAGATGAAGGGGTTGATGCTGCTGTGGATGCAGGTGAGCAGGATAACAACCTCGGAGGACACAGTGATGTAACCGAGCTGTTGCAGGAAATTGCAGAGGCTGAGGGGGAGAGCAAAGAGGAGGAAGAAGAGCACAACAAGGAAAATAACAATGTCGAGTCTCTTGGGTTGCTGCTGCTGAGACCCACACTTGACCTTAATGAGGAGGACTGTGCTGGAAACGACCATGGCTGGGGCAAAGAGGAAGAGGTTGAGGGCATACATGGTGATGAGAGACACCCGGCAGTGCTCGTGCTCCTGTGACAGGCACAGGGAAGTCACTGTGACAATGACAGCGATGGAGAGGGCCCAGAGCAGGGCACACACTACCCATGACAGGCGCTGGGGACGGCGGCAGCGGTACCAGAGGGGGAAGAGGATTGAACCACACCTCTCGATGCTGATGGCTGTCAGCACATACAGCCCCATGTTGTAGGAGAACAGTAGGAGCGGGAAAAGTGCCCTTAGGAACACCAGGGGAGCGACTGTGGAGCAGGACACATCCTCCAGTAGGTAGAGCAGGGTGGAGTGGACCGCAAAGTGGAGGAAGGAGAAGTTGGCGAAAGCCAGGTTGGTGATGTAAAAGGTGGTGGGGTTCCTTTGGAGAAGGCAGAGCACAGCGCCATTCCCGGCCAGCCCACAGAGGCAGATGAGCAGTGTCACACTGTGTATGGCCACGCTGGTGACATCTGTCTCACAGATGTCATCTCCCTCAGTGGGTGAGGCAGGAGATGGGGACATGGTGGTCACCTCCATGGATGGATGCTGAGGAGGCGGTGGGATGTGGCCCTGGCTGTGGTCAGAGTGGATGGGGAGTCAGTGGTTCAAAAATCCAGGAATGGACCATGCAGCTCCTCAGCAGCTCCCTGCAGAGGGAAGGATTCAGTGGGGAGAAGTGAGATGTGCAGGGGAGGAGGGTGGAGGAAGAGTGGGGTGGGAGAGGGTTGGGCTGTTCACCAGGAGACACAGAAGGGAAGCACAGGGCAGAGGAGGGGGGAGCTGGGGAGGGCACTGGGGTCACTGGGAGAGGGTGGCAGGAACAGAGCAGCTGCTGGAGGAGAGGAAGTTTGGGATAAGGAGGAAGGAAAACATTCCACTGACCTGTTCCCTGTGGGGCAGCAGCAGGCAAAGGGGTCTGTGCAGATCAGCGGCGCTTCCTGGTTCCTTTTGCTCCTTTGGGATCCATGTCCTAAAGCGGCTCCTGCCAGGTCAGTGACATGAAGGAGAAAGTGCCCAGATCACCAGGAGCTCCTCACTGCTGTCCTGCTGGCTCCTCTCTGCCCTGTGCTGTTGCTGTTTCCCAAGGCTCGGTGGTATCACAGGGGAATCGGAAATTGCACCTTTGGCTACGTCAGGGTGCGCCTGCACTCCTACAAAGTAATTTATAATGATTTTTTTGAGTTTTGTCCAATAAGGAAGTGGCTTTTGCCAGACAATCTGCAGAGTTTTGCAAGTGGTTCATCATTTCCTCCTGATTAGAAACACTGCTTCCCTGCAGAATGTCCCATTCTCCATCCGCCTCCCTTCTCCTGAAGGGCTTCTACCACTCCTCATTTCCCTTCCCTGTGGGGTCAGCGTCCCCCCAGAAGGACGCTGGTGGTGCTGGTGGCACTGGAATGCCGGCAGTGCCGGCGGTGCTGATGAAGCCGCTGGGTGCTCGTCAGAAGCATTTCACGTTCTGGGAAGAGCTCTGGGATCATTGCCAAAGCCTCCCCAAAGGGCCAAAGGACGCTCAGGTCTCCCAATCCCATCCCCATCCCTGCTCCCCATCCCGCTCTCCATCCTCTCCCATCCTCTCCCACGCCGCAGCTTTCCCGGCCGGCGGCGGCTCCGCGCTCCGAGCGCGGCCCGTCGGGCTCTGCTGCCCTCCCGTGCTGAGATCGGGGATCGGCAGCATCCCTCCTCTCCTGACCCTTCCTCACCTCCTCGGAAATCCCAGAGCACCCCCCGCACCCCCCCGGGCCACCTTGCACCCCCAGAGCCCCGCTCCTCCCCTGCTGCACCCGCGACTCCCGCAGCGTCTCTGCCCCTCCTGGCCATGGGGCTCCAGCAGCCGGGAGGGAGGAGGAAAGCCCTGCTCCCGTGTGCTCCCTCAGGGCATCCCTCCCACACGCCGCTGCTCCCTTCTCCTGCAGGAATACACCGCGGGAGTGCTCCAGACGAGTGCTTGAGATCGCTGAAAAAGTCACCGCCAAGGGGCTCGCTAAAAACCACATTTAATATGAAGCGGCAGCACAACGGAGTTCACTGGCCAGGAGCATTTCTCAGATCTCTGTGTGGACTGGAAAGATGGTGAGGATGCTCCAGCACACAGAAGGTGATAGTGTGGGTATTTATTGTTCAGGAAGATCAAGGAATCCCTCAGCTGCAGTCCCGGGGTTATTCACCAGTGCAGTGGCAGGAATCAACAAGCTCAGGGCTCTGTGTCCATGACGGGATCATTGCTGTGGGCAATGTTTTCTTCTGTGTCCCCAAAGCCTCTCAGGAGGGCCTTCCTTAGGGACCCATGGAGCAGGGCCTCCTGCAACACTCCACACAGCAGGGCCTCCTGCTCCTCACCAAGAAGTAGATGAAGGGGTTGATGGTGCTGTGGATGCAGGTGAGCAAGAAAACCACTTGGGATGACACAATGGTGCAGCTGAACTGCTGCAGTAAAGTCCAGAGGCTGAGTGGGAGAGTGAAGAGGAGGATGAAGAGCACAGTGAGGAGGAGAATGATGTTGAGTCTCTTGGGGTGCTGCTGCTGGGAGGCAGGCTTGACTTCACTGAAGAGAATTGTGCTGGAAATGACCACAGCTGGAGTAAAGAGCAGGAGGTTGAGGACATTCATGGAGATGAGACACCTGGCAGTGCTGGGGCTTGAGTGACAGGGACAGGATAACCACTGTAACAAAGGGGAGGGCCGAGAGAAGGACACTCATGAACCCTGATGGGTGCTGGGGGCAGTGGCAGCGGTACCAGAGTGGGCAGAGGATGGATGTGCATCTCTTGATAATGATGGGTGTCAGCAGGTACAGCCCCGTGGTGTCAGAGAACAGCAGGAGCAGGAAAAACAAACTCATGTTGTCCAGGAGCATAATACTGGAGCAGGAAAGTTCCTCCAGCAGGTGAAGCAGAATGGACCAGGAAGCTGAAGTCGGGAATAGCCAAATGGAAGATACAGAGTGTGATGGGGTTCCTGCAGAAGCTGAAGAGGCAGAGGAGAGCCCAGATTCCAGCCAGCCCACAGAGGCAGATGCGCAGCATGATACCCCACATGGCCACATCAGTGATATCAATCCCACATATATTATCTCCTTCAGTGGGTGAGGCAGGAGATGAAGACATGGTGCTCACCTCCATGGATGGACGCTGGGCA